AGGTGCACTAGTCGACCCACCTAGAAAAAAGTTTTCTTTTTACTCTGAAGAGCTTGTAGAATCCATAGGAAGTTATTACAAAGATGATAAGAATAGCCGAGCTTGTGCTGGTATCAAAGAATATATTATTGTCGTGAACAAAAAGACGAAAGTGAAATAAAGATTACAGAAGAGATTGCTTTTGTTCAGTCTCAGAGATTTGCACCATAATTATCTAGACGATCATGCGGACGAATTAGAAAAAGTTCCCAGTTTGTCATATTTTGCTGAGCTACGACCGGACGAATGCTGATTTGCTGGTGCTCCTGGTACACATTCCGTTTGCATTTGTATGGAACATCAGAATGTAAAATTGAAAGCAAGAGTAATATCATGGTCATTGGATTACAGAGAATTATTAGATGTTTGTGTTTGTTCAGTAGATAACGAAAACTGTATGTTGAAAAACTGCTCTGAATGTCCCGGGGAAAAAGCCATTCAGGACTTTTTGCAAACTAAAAACTTTGTAAAAAAATGGCTACATCAGGTACTTAACTTGGTCATCCGTTCATTTTACAAGTAATAATGATGAAACAACTAGCAATACTCGCGTAACACTTATTCAAAAGGTCGAGGATGTCAAAATATTCTATGAAGGATTTATGAAAGATGTTTTGAAATTAAAAGAACATCATTATGTCAATGAAACTCAGAAATATTGCTTCACATTCATGAAGAAAAATTTGAAGTATGACACTGGTTTAGTAGTAATGGATTTTTCTGAGAACTACTCATTTATAGCTCAGGATTTCATTCAGGCTTTCTATTTTAACAATATTCAAACTATGGTACACCCTTTTGTCCTTTACTATAGAAGCAATGATGGAATGAAGATAGAATGTGCTAGCTTTTGTGTCATTAGCGATTACTTGAAGCATAATGCATACGTTGTAATATCTTTCAAGAGAAGGTGATAGAAATGATTAAAGGTCTCTTTCTGGAGTTGAAAAAATTGATATATTTTTCAGACGGAGCCCCAACACAATACAAAAATAAGTAAGTTTATTTTTTTAGCTTCACATATTTTTGCGAAGCTTGTTTAAAGAATGAAAAAAAATTACTGACAATTCTCATCATTTTTACAGGAATCATTTTACAAATATTTGTCATCATGAAAATGATTTTGGAATCAAAGTAGAATCCTATAATTTCTTTGCACCTAGCCACAGTAAAGGACCTTGTGATGGAATCGGAGCTGTAGCGAAACGCTTTGTCAGAGATGCATCTTTGCGATTGCCAGTAGAAAAGCAAATTTTGAATGCACGTGATATGTTCCTGTACCTGAATGAGCATATGGAAAAAAATCAAGTAAGGCATTATTTATAAAACCGCTTTTTCATACAATAGACTTTCGAAAAACTAAATATTATTCAATTTTTTGTAAAGGTTTCAATGGGTTAGCAGCGATGAATGTGAACGTCGACAGAAAAGGTTTCAGAAACGATTTGATACTGCACAAACTGTCAAAAATACTAGAGGATATTTTTACATGAAACCGATTAATAAGGACAATGCCGAGTTTAAAATTACAACTCTGACGAGAGTTGGCCTGAAAGTATAAGTAAAAACTGAACATGCAGAAAAATGAATATTTTTTATCATTTACCATGAACTAATATGATTTATTACGCTTCAGTTTTGTCCTTCTTCAAAAAGTAATTCAACCTGAACTCTGAAATAACTTTGAATTTTCGCGCTACTTGTGTGCTCCACCAATCACAATGCTGGATGTTGGCGAATCATTATTTCTTAGGGTAGGAATATGTATTTATAGAAGATGCACACAATTTCGCCCTTATTCTTAATATAATATTATCATGATGTTAATTACAATAGTAAACCGTAGATAATTTTTCAAGATACCCGAAATTAGTGATTTTGAAAAATCACATAAGTCAACCAGGAAGCAAAAGTCCACCGATGTTATTATAGGACTATATTCTACAATACTAGAGCTGCTTAGAAAAATCTTGTTTGATGAAAAAGATGATGTTCGTATTTTTTAAATGTACTTTCAAAATAGCAATATTTTGCTATTTTCGGAATAATAGCAAACTTTGAATACGCATATCATTGGTCTTAATTAAGCTAGCAAGATGGACGGTGTCACAAATTAAAGCTCTTTTCAAGGCAAACAAAAAAATATCTTCTAATTTTTCAAAAAATGTCAAACTGATGGAACAAACGGTTGTGCGAAGCTGTAATCAAAAGCAAAGGTGGATTCTTTGACAGAAAAAAAGTTTAAATTTGTTTACTTTGTGATATGTTTATTTAGTTGACTAAAGAAGACCAAAGAAGTTATTTTTTGTGTGACAAATAATTGATAGTTTTGATTGTTGTAATTGATCATAATTTACAAAATGAAGTTAATGAATTAACCCATTTCTTCCCAATCGACCATGAGACTACCGATTGGTTTATCGTCTTGTAAAATAGGTAGAATCGCTTGAGATCGACATGCAAAATACCATTTCCGAAGCAAAGACTTGCTCTTTCCGAATCTGCAAAAAGATTTTCATAACTTTGCGATTCAAAAACAATATGGCTGCTCAAACTTAGTGAAAATTTCATTTTTTATTTTAACTGAATTTCCTTTTTTTTTCGAGTAAAGTATGTAATGTATACCTACTAAACAATTTTATTTCACTATTAGTATGGTTGTAGGACTTCTGTTATCGATTATTGATATTTTTGAAAATCCAAAATTAAAAATAGCGGACGAAAAATTGAAAAATTCTGAAAAATGAAGGAAAATGAGAAAATTTATATTTCTTGTGTTTTTGAGGGTGCTGATTTGATATCTGGTATTGATTTTTGAAAATTCTTGCACCAAAAATAAATATGGCGCATTCAAAATGGCTGCCAAAATGAATTTTTTCGAAAAATCAAAGTTTTTCGCCAAAATACATTCTCTTTGCGTTTTTGAGGGTGCTGATTTGATATTTTATGTTACTTTTTGAAAATTCTTGCACCGAAAATAAATATGGCGCATTCAAAATGGCTGATAAACTTAATTTTTTTTACTTGAGTTTTTTTTTATGAAGTACACATTTTTATATGCTTTTGAAGCTAATAAATTGATATTTCATTATATATAGTTATAAATCATTTTCAGTGTAAAAATTATGTTCAGTAAATAGCAGTAGTAAATAATTGAGTTACTGAGATGTTGAAAAAGTATGATCGTAACTGTCAAAACATTTACAACATATGTATTTATCGCATTTTTCGTAAAAGTTGTTAGTACGTTGGTTATCACACTTTTCTCCTGATTTACATGTTTGTTGTGTATATCTTTGAGAACTTTGATGCAAACCATGGTAGGATCTGAAACATTGAACACAATGATGTTCTTTACAATCATAACAATAATAAGTAGTTCGATCTTTACATACCTTACATACTTTGCGTGCCTTAGGAATCATGACGAGTGAATGTTGAGATAGTGATTCTTTGTTTCGTTTCAAGTATACTCTTATAACATTCGAGACAAACTCTTTAGCTGATATTTTCTTACTATGCACTAAATTATATAAGACCATACCATTAGTTAGTGATGATTGTATAAACCTACAAAACATAGGCCATGTCCACTTGTTACCATGAATAGTTGGTTGAAAATCACTGCAATGTTGATCATGAAGATCAACACCTCCCATAAACATATTATAAATTATAAAAACCAAAGGAAACTCTAGTGGAATTTTTTTTTAATACTTTTATCAGTTCTTTCCACTTCAGATCGTGGTGTAACACAGCTTGCAGTTGAAACGATAGAAACATTTTTAGAATCCTTTTCTGTAACATAGTTTATGCCACTATTTACTTCGTGAGTTACTACATAAGTACCACGCTCAGATTTTTTATTGATGATATGTTTTTTTTTTAAAGTATCAAGTTCGGAAACTACTTCTCGTTTGTTAGCTTTCTGTTTTGTTTGCTTGCCTGCTTTCAAAGTTGATTTTTTCTTTGTTAGATTATTTATTTTGTTTTTTACATTTTTTGCATTATTTTTTTTCGTTGCTTTCGTATATTTTTCTTTTACTTTTTTAGCTGCTTGTTTTTAGCTGTTTGTTTTTTAGTTGGTTTTAACTTTATTTGAAATTAGAGACTTTGTTTTTCTTTTATTTTTCTCTTGATTAGAAACTTTAGTAAAAACTCGCTCGTCTCTTACTGTCCCAGTTGCTCTGAGACCATGTTTTTTCAATCGTACGAGTAAATCAGGTGAACTAAAATAATTGTCAAAACTGACGTGGTATTTCAAAATTTCATCTGCCGACTTTCTCTGAAAAAATTCTTTTAACATTTTTATCACTACTCTAGAACCCAAAGCACATTTTTCTTCGCTACTTGAATCGTGACCACAGTAAACATCAAAATTTACTAAATATCCCTGAATTGTACAAAGCGCCCAAAGCTTTATTCCAAATCGTACAAGTTTATTTCTTATACATTGTTTGAGTATGGTACGGCCAAAAAACTTAACCATCATCTCATCGATCGAAAGGGCAGAACAAAAAAAATCAAATTGCTGAATATTTTTTCGAAAAATGTTTATTATTTTTCTGACTCTCCATACTCTATCTGCATCATTTCTATATTCTTTTTTATTCATTTTAAATTTATTTTTTAAATTTTCAAATTTATAACGCGACATGGTTTCAGAAACTGTATCGGAATGGTACAAAGAATCGTTAGACCAATAATCCCTATAATATTTACGACTGTTGATAATAGAAAACATAACTATCCCAATGAATTTATTCAAATCATCAGTATCAATGTCTAAATCATTTTCAGCACTTGCTTCAATTATATAATCTTTTATTTCATCTGAAAAAAATAATTCAAACAACTTATCGCATGTTTTTTCAGGCAAATTATTTTTTATCTCCTCATCCAAAAATATTTCTGATTTTGGTATCGAATCATAAAATTTGTCTCCATCTTTCCATACATACTCATGTGAATGTTCTAGTTTTTTATTTGAAGAAATGAGGGATTCGTCAACTATTTGATACCCTTCTGGACAATTGCGTCCTTCAATAATCTGAACACTGTCAGCTGAATCGTTTTCATTATTTGATTCATCTCCACTTCCAATATCATCAGGAATCACAGCAACGTTTCTAAATAAACTTTCGGATAAATTAGAAAACGTTTTATCTGTTCCGTCAACATGATCGGAATCTAAATCCATAAACTCAGTAGTTTCAACAGTAATACTACTGTCGGATTGCTTTGCGTTTTTCTTTGGCATACTTTATACCAGATGTTATTTTGTAAAGTTATTCAAAATTATAATATTATAAGGTTCAAAAATATTATAATAAATCGATCGCAGTAGTAGTCGAAGTTTTTATATAAATTATTATTATTGTAATACAATAGTAATATAAATTTTGTAGTTTTTTTTTTTAAGTATACAAATTTGCGGAAAATATCGGGTACCTATATGGATTTAGGATTGCAGATTTTACTGCAAGTACAAAAAAATGACTGTTCGCCACCTAGCGGCCGTTTTATAAGTGAAATATGATTTGAAATAATTTTATTGTAACTTTTATTATTTAGAAAATTAATGAATGCTAAACCTGTGGATTTTCGCTAGAAAAAATATATTTATAAAATAAATTAAGTTTATCAGCCATTTCGAATGCTCGATATTGATTTTCGATGCAAGAATTTTCAAAAAGTAACATAAAATATCAAATCAGCACCCTCAAAAACGCAAAGAGAATGTATTTTGGCGAAAAACTTTGATTTTTCGAAAAAATTCATTTTGGCAGCCATTTTGAATGCGCCATATTTATTTTCGGTGCAAGAATTTTCAAAAATCAATACCAGATATCAAATCAGCACCCTCAAAAACACAAGAAATATAAATTTTCTCATTTTCCTTCATTTTTCAGAATTTTTCAATTTTTCGTCCGCTATTTTTAATTTTGGATTTTCAAAAATATCAATAATCGATAACAGAAGTCCTACAACTATACTAATAGTGAAATAAAATTGTTTAGTAGGTATACATTACATACTTTACTCGAAAAAAAAAGGAAATTCAGTTAAAATAAAAAATGAAATTTTCACTAAGTTTGAGCAGCCATATTGTTTTTGAATCGCAAAGTTATGAAAATCTTTTTGCAGATTCGGAAAGAGCAAGTCTTTGCTTCGGAAATGGTATTTTGCATGTCGATCTCAAGCGATTCTACCTATTTTACAAGACGATAAACCAATCGGTAGTCTCATGGTCGATTGGGAAGAAATGGGTTAATTCATTAACTTCATTTTGTAAATTATGATCAATTACAACAATCAAAACTATCAATTATTTGTCACACAAAAAATAACTTCTTTGGTCTTCTTTAGTCAACTAAATAAACATATCACAAAGTAAACAAATTTAAACTTTTTTTCTGTCAAAGAATCCACCTTTGCTTTTGATTACAGCTTCGCACAACCGTGGCATTCTGTCTAACAATTTGTCTAGTGTTTCTGTTGCTATTTTCTTCCATTCATCTTGTAGAATTTCCCACAAATGAGCAGCTAAAGTTGGACATGATTTACGTACTTTTCGATCAAGTTCTTCCCATAACAATTCTATAGGATTCAGATCCGGTGACTGTGGTGGCCATTCCATAATTTGTAATTTATTTTTTTTCTCAAGATTTGCTAAGTAATTTTTACATATTTTCGCTGTATGCTTCGGATTATTATCTTCTTGAAAAATAAAGGATGGACCGATGAGTCGTGTACCAGACGGAACCACATTATATTGTAAAATTTTTTTGTACTTCTCCTTTACCAAAATTTCATCTACTTTTTTAAATCACCGACTTTTGAATTTCTGAAGCATCCCCATACCATAAGTGACCCACCGCCGTGCTTCACCGATGGAATTAGACAACTTTCCAAATATTTTTCGTTGTTTTGCCTTCGAATATACGTTCGACGTTTAGAACCAAAAACTTCAAATTTAGATTCGTCACTCCTTAACACACGTTTCCAGTCACTTAAATTCCAAAGCCGATATTTTCTAGCCCATTCCAATCTCTTCTTTTTGTTTACTTTTTTTAATAATGGTTTTTTCTTTGCAATTCGGCCGTGTAAACCTTTTTCAACAAGTCTTCTTTTAACAGTAGATACACTTACAGATCACAGTAAAGGCAAGCCCTCCCGTCTGGCTTTCTTTACCGCACGAGAATACTGCCAATCCGCAAACTAGAATAAAGAAATATAATGATAATAATAACAATGAATAAGAAATCAATTTGTAAAATACTTACGCAGACCATCGAATGACGCTTCCTTGGAAATCCAAACATTGTAAAAATTGAACTGTACAAAGTCGAGCAACCGCGCTCCTCATATACTAAATAAATGCACACACCGCAAAAATTTCTGTATAAACCGCTAGTAGCTTTGAATTTCAGAAGTATGCAAATATTGCAATATCTTAGGCCCTGGGGTGTTACGTCTTACGACGCATCCTTTTTATAAAATAAACATTTGCGAAATTCAAAGCTACTAAACTATTCGCACGTCAGCAAAAAGCTAATTAAACGCGAGGTAAATGACTCTCCGAAATTAAGCCTTACGACGCATCCTTTTTGTAACATATGCACATTCAAAACTGCTAAGCTATTCACACGACAGCAAAAAGCTGTCGAAACACACTCCGAAACTAAGTCACCAAAACGCAAGAATTTATAATCAGCGAAAACAAAATGTCACACAATATCGCAATACTGACCTGAAAAAGAACTATAAAAGATATAAAAATCAATGAACAAAAGACACTCAGGCAGTTGATCAGTAGTCCGTCAGTCAGTCAATAAGTACCTGTAAGACTCAACTCCGTACACACCGGTCCGACAATTGGTGATCATTTTACTTAATAAACTCGCGACTGTTACAAAGTAATATCGTGCAAGTATTATTCAACAACATATCCTATTCAATTCAACAAGCAATTAGAGCCTGCTACATTTATTCAATTCAACAAGCAGTTAGAGCCTGCTACATTCATACAATTCAACAAGCAGTTAGAGCCTGCTACATTCATACAATCCAACAAGCAGTTAGAGCCTGCTACATTTTATCAACAATTAAAGGCTACGATTATCAAGGTAGTACAATTATCAGACATACATTTCCACATATATTTATTATAAGTGAGACATATCCGACCACTAGTCAAAATATTGGAACGTCTCATTCATTAGCTATTCGTAGTTGATGCACGAGACGTAACACACTTATTGGTGTGTCAAGATGTTCATTAACTTGAGCTGTGAGTTCTGGAGTTGTGAGACGTCTGTTTCGAATACTCAAAAGCGCTATGTAGTCATCTTCTTTTGCTGTAGTTTTTCTTTTCTTTTTCTTTGGTTTTGTAGAGATGTTTTGTTCAGTCAAAAACTTCTTTATGTTGTAATCTACAGTGCCTTTAGCGATTTGCAGTTCATTTGCTATTTTTCGTCTACTGTATCCAGTTTTATACAAAATAATTATTTGCAAACGAACTTGCTCTGTCAAGTGCTTGGCCATGGTTATCGATCGATCGAGATCCGTAGACAACTAACTAAATCATCGATTAAACTTGTAACTCTCCTTGAACCATGGTCACGAAAAATTTTTGTAAACACAAAACACTGTTTCGCATATACATAGCAGTGTTTTGCGGCGCAGAAATACCGTAAAACTTATAGTCTTTACTTTTATATCAAGGTATTTCGATGCGTGCATTCATTGTATACTAACTACTATTATCATAGGTACGATACCATTATAAAGTAGATTGTATACCGATTGTAAAAAATGTCCATTATTTATTTTAATCAATACTACGTATACAAGTCGTATAACTCATTATAATATTTCACTAAAAATTTAATAAATAATTGTAAATAAAAAAATTTTTTTTTTAAATTTGAATATTTTACGTTGAATTCGTATTCGTTGAGTAAAAACGCATAATTTTTGCTCTTATGATTTTTTTAGTTTGATTCAGAGTTTTTGAGTTATGAGCTGTTGAAAAAAATGTGATTTTTTTACATAAAATTAAAAAATTCCCTAAAAAATAAATAAACCGAAATTCTGCATAGCGCATTTTAAAGAGGAGTACCATAGCTTTAACCTCCATTTTTTTTTAATCCGATTATTTTTAACAAAGTTATGCCAATTTGAAAATGGACGAAAAAAATTGAAAATTTTCTTCCAGGTATCTTTTTAATTTTTTCAGCATAGCTTTCATTTCACTTTCACTCTTTGCCATCATCACTATATCATCTGCGTATCCTAATGTCCATATTTTCTTCCTTCCTATCACTACCCCTCCTTTCTGCACCTGTTTGATCTTCACTTCCAGGTCGGCGAAGGCAAGATTAAATAGCGTGGTGCTCAAAGGGCACCCTTGCCTTACGCCTTTGTAAATCTCAAACTCCCCAATTATTTCTCCTCCAACTTTTACTTTACTCCCTGTTTTCTTGTATATTTCTTCTATTCTTTTCCTAATTTTTCTATTTATCCCTTTCTCTTTCATTGTTTCCCATATTTTCTTTCTCTTTATTTTATCAAAAGCGGCCTTCATGTCTGCAAAGAATACGAACAGTTTTCCTCCTTTTTCCCTTATTTCCTTCCCTATTATTGTTTTAAATATAGATATTGCGTCCATTGTTCCTCTTTTCTTCCTAAATCCCATCTGCGTATCACTTAGCGTTTCTTTAGCTTCTAGTTCTCTTTCCAGCTTTTTCCTCAGTATTTCCGCATATATTTTATATCCCGTATCCATCAGCGTTATTCCTCTATAGTTTCCTACTTCTTCTTTCTTCCCTTTCTTATATGTTGGTACTATTATTCCCTTCCTCCATTCTTCCGGATATCCTTCTCCGTTCAATATTCCGTTTAAGCATTTTGTCATACCTTTTATCAAGCCTTTCGTGCCTTCCACCCACGCTTCATTTGCTATACCATCTTCTCCTGTCGCCTTTTTCTTTTTCATTTTTCTTATTACCTCTTTTACTTCTCTTTCTTTAATTTCTTCACCTTCCTCTCTTCGCTGTCTTCGGTTTCTTCCCCTTTGCTTTCTTCCTTTTCTTTCTCTCCCAATTCTTCTTTGAAGTGCTTTATCCATTCTTCTTTTCCTATATTTTCATCTAATCCAATTCTTTTCTTCCTATTGCCATTCACTTTATCCCAGAATTTTCTTCTCGTCTTATCTTTTCTTATTTCTTCTGCCACTCTTTTCCCTTCATCTTCTTT